CGAGAGCTGCAGTAGGTACATGGTCAGTGCTCCAAACAGAGGAGAATTCCCAATTGGGGGGGGGGGTGTCAGATGACAAGAATTTCAGGTATGAAGAACAGTGGTATTTACATCATTTATCCTCCTTACCACAGCTATTACATCTGGAGAGAAAAAGTTTATATTGTAAATAGCCACTAGGTGGCAATATAAAACTGGTTAAAAAACACACCAACAAAACGGGCAACTGTGTTGAAAAACATACTTTTTGCCTTTGGTTACTTTTAGGGTTTTTATCCATGATCACAGTCGAGCCTGCTGGAACCATTACAAACTGAGTATAGTCCCTGCTGCACACGTACTCCCAAGTATCTTCCTAGGATTGCTGTGATTTATTATCAATGAATTCTATTTGTATTGGGAATGCCAGAAACTTTGAGGGGAGGATTATGTGTTCGACAACTGTAATCACTCATGGACTGAGCCTTGACTCTTCTTGCCCCACCGCTGTCCAACTCAAACAGCTGCTAAGCAGCTCTGTGGCTGAACTCAAACCGTGGTGGCAGAGCTTTATCTCCTGCTGCCTTGAAGTTGTTGTTGCTGCTGCAACTCTGCAGTAGGTGAAACCAATTCCCCTGCAGGGTCCTGGCTGCTGTGTGAAAATTTGCCTGCAAGTAATAACACAGACTGGGCCCCCGGTGGCTCAGAGGTTAAGACGCTGAGCTGCAGATCAGAAGGTCTGTAGTTTGGCAGTTCGAGACTTGAGTGTGCCGCATGACGGAGTGAGCTCCCATCTCTGGCCCCAGCTCCTGCCAACCTGAAAGTTCGAAATCAAGAAATTGCAAGTAGATAAATAGGTACCACTTTGGTGGGAAGGTAGCAGCATTCCATGCACCTCGGCACTTAGTCATGCCGACCACATGACCACGGAAACGTCTTCAGACAGTGCTCGCTCTTCGGCTTGGAAACAGAGATGAGCACCTCCCTCTAGGGTCGGATTCGACTGGCTTTTGAGCAAAGGGAAACCTTTTCCTTTTCCTTAATAACACTAACTAACATGGACACCAACTGGTAGAATTTTATTTCTTTAAAAACACCGCTTAGTTTGTGAAAAGTACTGAGACTTACTAGTGAATTGAGCTCTCATACTTTATTTCAGGAAAGAACAAGACAACCTTTCCTGGCTCACAGGCTGGCTTATATGTGCAACAATCCCACACCCCAAACACCCCTCCACACACCAGTGATAGGCTATTTACAGTGGCCGAGAGTTCCATGGGCCCTTGGCTGGGAGCCTAGCCCTCCTATTGGTGCGGGCTAGGATCCGCTTGAGCCATTGTCCCTGAGAGCGAAGCTCGGGAGCTTCGCATGACCACGTGGAGGCTTAGCCTCGCATGCGGTTGGAGATGAATACATTACAGTTTGTGTTTACTGGGTGAATTATTGATTTGCTCCCTGTACATTTACATGATTGTCTACTGAGTGTACAGTGATGACAGGAGTGACAGAAAGGTTCAGTTGCACCTCTCCCAGAGTACAGCCAGTGAGAGTTCATGTAATGCTGGGGGAAGATTGACAGTGAACAGTGATGACACTTAGAAATCTGGGAGAGCTTTCTGAAAAGATGATGAGTTTGAGCCCGTGAGTGTGTTACCCAGCCTGGACCCAGAGAAAGGGAAATTAGCTTTTTAAAAGGTTCCAGAAAGGAATAATGCAGGACCTTGTAGCCTGTGTATACCAGGGTGGATCTCTGGTAAGGGTACCCCAAAATAAAATTAGGGAGAAAGAAAGTGAGTGAGAGTGATCTTAAACACAAACAATTTTGTTGATAAAACAACAAAATAAAACAAAAATGTAAAGATCTGAGAGCTAATTCCCTAAGTAAACACACGCACACCAACAAGAGGGCACACTTACAAAAAGGAGGAGGGTAGGAACTCGGAAGTTTTAGGGAAGGGATACATGACCTGAAATCCTGGGCTGAGGTCCAAAGAGCAGAGCAGGGCACCGGCTTAAGGGGGGGGCAGAGTGCAGCAGGGGTTCTCAGCCGGAAACTAGAGTTCTGAGCATCAGAGATCTGGACCAGGCGTCTGAGGAACAATTTGCTATGTCATGGGGTCCCTCTTTTATGGACAGAAGGTTCCCAGGGTAAGGTGGTATTTGGGCCATCCTGGTTCTAGATCGGGTCAAGATCAAAAGTCTGAATATCACTGGCTAGTTTAAAGTTAACTGCTGTCAAACTTTGGTGGGGAAAGTACCTTGATCTTTCATTGCAAACCACCTCTTGCAATATCACCTTTTCACCCCAAGGAAAGCCATCTGTAATATTTAGGGATTACTTTCCACTTGATGGCTCATTCAAATATCACACTGGGGATGACTGGTTACTGAAAGGGAAAGTATACATTGTAACACCTTTTGGCCACTAGGTGGCAATAGACTACGAACCTTCCATGCATACTCTTTTAACCACCACTCCCTCCCTAAGAAGGCATTACTTAATGAGCTTGTCAGAGCTAGGCACTATATTAAAAGCAAACAATCGACAAAGCAATGAATGATGGAAGCAAACTCACAAATTCTGAATTGCAAAAGTTGCTTAAAATGGGTGCACATTATAATTCCTCATAGTGATTTTGCTCATCCCTCTCTGAACCGTTTTAAAGACACTGAAGTATGTGAAGCTGTCCCTCTCATATAGATGGGGCTGCCTTCTCCAGCAGTGAGAACTCTTTAATCAAAATAATTGTTCCTGAATTACCTCCCTCAGAAACATTCCTCCAGTACTATGGCTGCCCTGTAGACATATTGATTTTCTGACAGCCAGTTTGCTCCCGCTGTGTTTTATAAAAAAATGTTTACATTGTTGTTGTTTTTCTCATATTTTAAAGCATCCATTTAGCTTCGGTTTGTCCCCTCATCCCTATCAAAATATATTGTGAGTGACCCAAAGCCTTGATAGAAATGTTCTGTCTAGACATAGGAACGTCTAATTGTGTAAACAGGGCATTATCCTTCTCACAGAAGAAAACTGGGAACCCTCTGTCTGCATGGAGCTGTATACATAAATTAGAAAATCAGTACATTAGATCTAGAGGGAGATTTCCACTGATGAAAAGGGGGCATTTTTCTCTGGTTACCCCTTCCTCCTGCAGACTTCCAGCACCTCCCTCATGCTGCTTCTGGGAGAGGGATCTCATCCTCCAGGACTACTACTTCAGTGTTCATTTTGGACCACAACAGAAGGGGGACTGCAAGGAAGTCATGTCCCCCCCCCCCATGGAAATCCCTTCCATGGGCAAAGATTTAGCTCAGGATCTAAGCCAGCAGACCTCTTGGTTTTTTTTCTCACTGGATGAACTGACAAATACAAAAGGTTTATTTCCTCTTTTGATCTGATTTGTGTAAATAGTAGCTTTCTAACAACAGAAATTCCAAGAGGGAAGGCATCCATTCCTGTTATATTGGGTCCTTCAAAGAGAAAGTCGGAAGGGGTGTGTGTGTGTGTGTGTGTGTGTGTACACACTCGATACTGTGCATCCCCTTATCCCAATTCTTCCCCAAAGAATATTTTAAGAATTTAGGATGGTTGGCCACAATTTTTTTCCTTCTAACCCCAGCTGATCACTTCCAGAGAACCCTTTAAAGTGCAAAGAGAAGAGATCCCTTAGTATTTTAGAGAATCCTGAAGTGGAAATGTGACTCAGGAGTACTGTATATCTCCCAGAAACAACTACCTTGCTTGCTTTAGTAGGATATAAGGAGAGAATCAAGTGACACATCTAATGACAACCCAACAATCTGATGGCTTGTGCCAGGAGTCTAGGGCAATTTGGGGGGTTTCACGTCTTTTGAAAAACCCAGCTTTATATACACACACCAACACTGTATTCCCAGAGTATGTAACAGTCTTCTGTCCGGTGGGCTCTGAGTGAGTGCTGTGCTCATGGCACCCGGCAGCACCTTTCCTGCTGACCAAATGCTTTTGGAGAGGGGGTAGGGCCGGGTGGGGCTTGTACCCAGCAGGGCTTCTGAGTGGCCATTGGGGATGCAGTTGGCTGGGCAGACTGAAGGAACATTGCTTCAGTTTTACTCTCACTCACCCCTCTTTCCCCGTGTATTTTTAATATTGCCTCTCCTGTTCCTCTGTGTGGTTAGCGCCACCTTCTTCAGCAGCCATTTTGTGCTTGTACCCACCACCTTGTGTCAGGATTCCACAGGCTCGAGAAGGTTGGGGACCCCTGCACGTGCCATCCTGCGTCAGAACTCCCCAACCTTTATATGTTTCTGTTGGGTCCAGCATTCAGTGAGGTTGCAACATTTAATCATTAGAAGCTGAGACTTTCCCCAGGAACAATATATGAAACAGGGACAAACCCATTTATCATTACTCACACACAATCCTATAGATGCTGTTCCGAAAGAAATGAAGTTGATGCACTGCATCCACAACCTCTCACTCTGCTTCCGTATGTTAAGCCTAGGCAGTGGATCCAGCAAGAGTGCTTCAGCAATTGCTATTCTGCTTCTTCTCCCACTACCTCTGCCCCACCTAGAGGTTCCCTTTGAACTCTGCCTCCAAGTGCTTAGTTCTCGTGGGCAGGAAGGGTTGCCTCAGTGCTTAGTTCTCGTGACCCTTTTTTACACACCCAGGGAAATGCTGACCGCCACTTTGGGGTCAGGAAGCAATTTTTCTCCAGGCCAGTTTGGCTTGAGATCCTGGAGGATTTTTTGGGGGGGGTCATCTTCTGGGCATGGAACAGTAGTCACTGGGGGTGTGGAGGGGGAGGTATTTGTGAATTTCCTGCATTGTGCAGGGGGTTGGACTAGGTGGCCCCTTCCAACTCTATGATTCTACTGTCAAATTCCAATTTAAGAACAAACTCCCTGATTTAAGTGGGTAGGAGGGGTGAGAAGTAAGCAAGATACTCTGAACTGTTTTCTTTAGAAACAATTTATTATGAAGGAAAACAAATTGAACATTCATACTTTTCTTACTATTAAAATCAGTGTTAGCTCCCTAAACAAGTAGATTGCTTCAGACATTTACATACTACATATACATGGCCCCGATCACACGCAGAAGTTGCTGCAGGATACTCATGGATGCTGGGCAGGTTTTACGAGCGCGATCAAACGGGCACAACTGGCAAGTGTCGCGCGCCCGTAGCCAGGCCGTCCCGTCCGGCCGAATATCTGGAATTAAAAGGTACCTGTGAAAATCCACTATCAAAAGCTTGCGACGGGCCGCAGATGGACCTCCTCCGTCTGATCGCTCCAACGCGCTCTTCTTGCCACGTTGAAGCGCGCCAGAAACATGCACGTGGCGCGCCAGAAACATGCATCGCCAGAAACGACCCTGGTCCACCGCCGCAGCGTTGGATCAGGTAGTGGCAAATTAAATTGCGGCGGCACAAATAGCCATGCCTCCCCCCCGCGTTATCTGGCCCGTGTGACTGGGGCCCTGATAAATCAACGCAGGTAGCTTTGAAGTATCTCAGTAATCTTAAGAGAGCACTTTTCTGTTCAGAGTTGCATTTTAGCACCTCGATCTAGCCCCCTAGACTTCATGGCTTCTTCTCTTCAGCCCTGGACAATCAGTCATTCCTCTTACGCATCCCTTTTCAACTCTCCACTTCAGCTTTCCATCCCCAAGATTCCAAAAGGCTGCAGAGCTGTGCACTTAACAAATCATATCCCATTTCTTCCCTAACAGTAGATTGTATTACAATAGAGCATAGGATTCATTCTAAATATACATATTGAAAAGCTAAAATATGTAAATATGTATTTTAAAACTTCAAAAACATAAGGAATACTGATGAAAGCCATTTTATCACAAGGATAGTGGTCAAATTTTGAGGCTATAAAAATAACACTTGCTATAATATGAAGTTTCCTTTTTGCATATGAACACAGCACAAATAGCCATGCAAAATTTCATTGCACGCTTTCAGTGAGAAATCCTGGTGTTACATGATCTGTCCCTGATGCCCCCCTTTTAAGAGACATCGTCCTCTGTAAGTCTTGCAACAGAAATGAATAAGCTCTCGTGTGCACGCACACTTCTTCAGATACAATGCAATGGAAATAACTAGTTCATGCATATAGGTAGAGGGTGACCAGTAAATTAACATGCAGCGTAATGAATGTTTAACCAATACCAGGACCAAACACAAATAACAAGCTTTAGTTTATATGGTTACCAATTGTTTGGGTTCAATTCAGGGGGGAGGGGGATAGTAAAGGAAATAAATATGTTAAAAATGGAGATTAATGGGCAGATGTATCATTAACGGTGGAATGCTGAGAGTAATTAACTGAAACCCTTCCATTACACTCCATCTGTCTCCTCTCAAGCATGGAGGCGACCTTATAGCATCTTCTTCCTTGGAGTGGGGTGATTGTTCCCAGACCAGACAAATTCATTCTTATCTACCATCCCAAACTACATTACATTCTACTATTCATTATGTTACATTAAAATCTACTATTGTAATTTATTATTCCAAATAAGAAATAAAATAAAATAAAAAGGATGTATGGCCCTCCTGGAGGATTGGTGAGAATACAGATGTAAGGGCTGAGTGAGGTTAGCATTATGTAGTGAGATAGGAAACCAATATCCCTGTTGAGTCCTGGGAACTCCATTGTTCTGAGCATTGCAATAACTTGCAACTCAGCATTCTTCCTTTCTAACCTGTTCCTGAAGTTCCTTTGCAATAAAACAGCTACTTTGAGGTCACCCATTGAATGTCCTGGAAAGTTGAAGTGTTCTCCTACAGGCTTCTCAGTCTTGTGATTCTTGATGTCAGATTTATGTCCATTTATCCTTTGGGTAAATGGGTCTGACCTGTTTGTCCTATGTAGAGAACTGAAGGGCACCATTGGCATTTAATGGCATATACAATGTTAGAAGAGGAGTATGTGAATAAGCCTGGCAGGGTGTAGTTAATTTTGTTAGGTCCAGTGATTGTGTTGTCTGGGTGTATGTGATGGCAATTTTGGCATCTGCGTTTATTGCAAGCTCTGGTACCAGTGTCCACATTCAAATTAGATGTTGTATTATTTTGAGTAAGGAGTTGTTTGAGACTGAGGGGGGGATGTCTGTGTGCAAAGAAAGGTTTGCCCCCCAAGTAGTTGTGAAAGAGAACTGTCCTTATCCAGTAGAGGTTGTAAGTTGCTGATGATGCGTTGAACTGTTTGGAGTTGAGAGCTATAGGTGACCACTAGTGGTTTTCTGTTATTGTTTCTTTTGGGCCTGTCTTGCAACAGGTTTTTTCTGGGTACCATTCTGGCTTTTGTAAGCTGTTCCTTGACTACATCAGATGGGTACTTTAGTTCCAAAAATGTTTGCTGTAGATCCCTCAGGTGTGAATTTCTGTCTGTAGGACTGGAGCAGATGCAGGTGTTGCGTACAGTCTGGTTGTATCAAATGGATCATTTGGTATGTTTAGGATGGTAGCTGGAGGCATGTAGGTATGTTTGTCGGTCAGTAGGTTTCTGGTATAAAGTGCTGTCTATGTGCCTATTGTGTATTTTTACAGCAGTGTCCAGAAAATGTATTTCCTGCATATTAAAAATTAATTGAATGCCTGGTGGAATATGTCCAGGGCTTCTTTACCATGTGTCCAGACAAAAATGTCATGATCCACAAATCATATGATGGTACAGCAACACTTTTTAGGATAATCTTCAGTATACACCTTGCGTTCATTTCCATAAACATAAAAAGAGAAGGATGCCTCATGCCATCTGTATTCCACTCTGGTAAGAGGTATATGCTCAATTGTTTGCTTCTGTAAAAAACAAAGACAAAAAACAAGGATATTTTTCAGGATCTCAACTGTGAGGTACTATTTGGAACTGGGGACACCTTTGTCAAGTATCATGGTTTGCCCAAATTGTTAGAAGGACACTGAAGATCTTGTCTCACTAACCTGTTAGTGTTCTTTGAGGGGGTGAACAAACATGTGGACAAGGGGGATCCAATAGATATTATTTACCTTGACTTCCAGAAAGCTTTTGATAAAGTTCCTCATCAAAGGCTCCTAAGTAAGCTCAAAAATCATGGGATAGAAGGACAAGTCCTTTTATGGATCAAAAACTGGCTAGTTCATAGAAAACAGAGAGTGAGTGTAGGTGGGAAATTTTCTCAGTGGAGGGTGGTAAGCAGTGGGGTACCGCAGGGATCAGTACTTGGTCCACTGCTTTTTAACTTGTTCATTAATGATTTGGAGATGGGAGTAAGCAGTGAAGTGGCTAAATTTGCAGATGATACAAAGTTGTTCAGGGTGGTGAAAACCAGTGAGGATTGTGAGGCACTCCAAGGGGATCTGTCAAGGATGGGCGAGTGGGCGTCAACATGGCAAATGGGGTTCAATGTGGCCAAGTGCAAGGTGATGCACATTGGAGCCAAAAATCCTAAATATAAATACACATTGATGGGGTCTGAACTGGCAGAGACTGAGCAAGAGAGAGATCTTGGAGTTGTAGTGGATAACTCACTGAAAATGTCGAGACAGTGTGTGACTGCAATAAAGAAGGCCAATGCTATGCTGGGGATTATTAGGAAGGGTATTGAAAACAGATCAGCCAATATAATAATGCCCCTATATAAATCAATGGTGAGACCTCATTTGGAATACTGTGTGCAGTTCTGGGCACCACACCTTAAAAAGGATATTATAGCTTTGGAAAAAGTGCAGAAAAGGGCAACTCGAATGATAAAAGGGTTGGAACACTTTCCCTATGAGGAAAGGTTAAAGCGCTTAGGGCTCTTTAGCTTGGAGAAAAGACGACTGAGGGGTGACATGATCGAGGTTTATAAGATTATGCATGGGAAAGAGGACGTCCTTCTTCACCCAAAGAGTGATTAACACTTGGAATTCACTGCCACAGGAAGTGGTGGGTGCTACAAGCATGGATGGCTTCAAAAGGGAATTAGATAAGCATATGGAGCAGAGGTCCATCAGTGGCTATTAGCCACAAGGTATAGCTAGGGGCTCTGGGGCAAGTGATGCTCTGTCTTCTTGGTGCTTGGGGGGGGTCAACAGTGGGAGGGCTTCTAATGTCCTGGCCCCACTGCTGGACCTCCTGATGGCACTGGTATTTCTGGCCACTGTGTGACACAGAGTGTTGGACTGGATGGGCCTTTGGCCTGATCCAACATTGGTGTCTCTTATGTTCTTATGACCCATCCTTCATTTTCTAGTGTCCAGCAGCTCTTGTTATGTGGCTGCTGTAGGCTTACCCTAGTTTCTCTCAATCCATTTCTGCAACTGGCTCAAAGCTGCAACAAGCTTTTCTTTCATAATAAAAAGACCCGTCATGGAATGGAGCTTTGTATATATTCATTGCTCCAGTTTTCCACTTGTGTACCCAAGATTTTTTGGAGTGGGGGTGCACGTATCATCATTACAGCCGAAGAGCATTGACTGCAATGTGCAACATGACACTCTTAATGGATCATAATGAAGCTATACACCAAATACACAATGGAAAGGACAAAATTTGTCTGACCACAAGACGAATG